GGACACCAGCCATGTCCTGGCCAAGTCAGCCAGTTCCCTGTGCACTTGCGGTTGTCACTCTCAGGCTGGAATTTTGGTTTTCATCCCCAGTACCATCAGAGGTGACTCCTGGGTCTGGTAACTGAGATGATTGTGCTTGGGCTCATCTGCCCACACCCCTTGTCTGGCAGTGCAGGCAGGTGTGGTGCATCCCATCTCATCACAGGGGATGCAGTCACCCTGTAGGTCTCTTCAGCCTCTGGTGTATCTGAAGGATTGACCTCTTCCCTTCTGGGGTTATCATCTATCAGACACTCATTGTTGGCAGGGTAACTTGGCAGGACACGGATAATCCCTCTTATAAAGGACGGAATTGAATAAGTGCCTTTGTCTACACTTTGAAATTATGGCTTTTAACACTGACCAGCAAGCACTGAGCTAAACAAGCCCTGGGCACAGTTTGGCCATCACCCAACAAGCTCTCCTGCAGTGGTCTCAGACCTGGCATGCTCCCCGGAGCCTGCAGGTAGAGAAATGATCCTGAAGGGCCACCGCGTTAGATGTCCCTCCATTGCACCCATGTGTGCTTTGGGGAGGGTTACACCAAAGGTTACAGCCATAATCAGGATGGAGGATGGTAACCACCTGGATTGAGGTTTTATCCATGCAGGTGTAGAAGAAAGGCTGTGTCTTGGAGAAACGGCAAAAGATTTCCATGTGCCACAAGTAACACCTACTTAAAGGTGATGCCTGGTGTTTAGGCCTGAGTGATCAGCCTCAGGGAAAGTAGTGGTGTCTGCAGAGATTGGTTGAGAAACACAGTTATGTTCTACCACAGTAGGATTAAACACCAGGACACCTGCAAAGGGAACCCTGAGGCAGGACAGACCTGGGACGTGGACACAAACCCCTGTCTCTGTTACGTTTCACCCCAGAGGTTAGCAAGGTTTTGAGTTCGCATCAAGTCCTGTCCCCAAGACACCCCCTCTTTGCCTATCCCAAGAGCAAGGCAGGGACTTGGTCACACCACGATGGGAAACATGGCACTGAGGGATTAATTAGCAGCACTTCACAATAAGCTAATCAACAGTCTCCCACAGGGCTGTGCTTGGAGTGTCCCAGCCAGGTGTGACCCCACAGGTACGTGTCAACAGCCCGCAGATGGACCTGCTGGAGCATCCCCCAGCTCTCATCTTGCTGTGAGTCTGAGACCTTTATCTAACACGAGAAAGATTTTTCTGGGCTGCCTTTGTCTCTGCAGCTTCCTTTCACGGCACAATGTCTGCTGTAGAAGCCGTGATCTTCATTTCCCTCCAACCCTCCACTATTCCTCTACATTTCTCTTCCAGGGTCTTTTCCTTATCTGCCATCACCTTCCTGTTTTTCTTCCTCGCTCAGCACCCTCCAGCCTCCCTGGCTCCTGAACCATCGGCTCCTGTTGAAGTGCTTCCTCCTCCTCTGGCCGATGCCCTCCCAGCGATAGCCCCAAGTATCCCGGGGGACCACAGGCATCCCGCAGGGCCCTGTTGGGAGAGGGTGGTGGTGCTGACCCTGCGCCAAAGGAAACGGTGCTGGGAGGAAACGACAGCACTGGGCTCCCAGAATATCTCCAAAAAGAGTTACCCCAGGGATGCAGAGATAAGCAGAAAAAACCTCATTTGGGGGGGAAGGAGGATGAGGTCAGAGCTGTTTGTCTGAGATGTTTGTGCTTCTTCTGGCATAAACACTGGTCTGGGCTTTCCCAGCGGGCGCCAGCATCCTTTTTGGAGCCAGGGCAATTGTTTATTCAGCCTCTGCTCACCTTGGGACGTGCAGCTCAGCACCACAGAGGCGAGGAAGGTGCTCAAGGTCATGGGGAGACAATGTTAAGAGGGCCAAGTCCCGATACAGCAGTTCCCAGGAGAGGGTCCCCTCTCTCTTTTGGTGTTTGTTGCCTTGGGTGGGTGCCAATTCAGGGTTAGGATCTCACTGTGCCTGATGCTGGAAAGACTTGGGGTATCCCTTGCCCCTCAGGTGGAACCTACAGGCACTTAGTGCATACACGGGGCCACGGCGACACAGCCCATCCCGTGGGAGAGCTGCCTGCCTGGTGAGGGCTACCATAGATGATGTCCGCCGTACACCTGAGTGGGCCAGTCTCAGGAACCTGTGGCTCTTGCAGACACCAGCACATAGTATTTGTTGGCTACAGGTCCTCGGAGAGGCTACAAAAGCTGCCTGCGTGAGAAGCATGCAGTGAGGTCCCTCTGAGAGGACCTCATGGTGTTTTGTCAGCCCTCAGACACTGAGGTCCATCCCCTGGTAGGTGACCGGGTGCCTCAGCATAATCCAGAAGTCACCACCATCTCTTTCTCCATCCCAGAGGCTCTCCCCAGGAATATCCTGCAGCCAAATGATGTCCTGGGGTGGGGAACAGGAATGAGGACCTGGGGGCAGCCCCTCAGCCCTCACTGCACAGGCACAGCCGGAGATACCCACAGAACCGTGCACAAGGGCTGTGTGTTGGGACATCTGCCTCCCTTTCCCCAGGTGGAGAAGACCACCTCATAGCTAAAGAAGACCCATTTCAATCCAGTCAACTCGCTACCTCATCAGCTAGAAAACAACCCAGCTGCCAACTTCCCCTCCAACACTCAAAACGTCTCCAAAGTCCCAGAACTAATTTTATTCTTAGGTCTCGGTTTAAATACACGCACGTGACTCTGTTGCAATGAGTACAAAGCACACTCCCTGTCTCAAGAGCCAGCTCCATCCGCTCTTCCCAAGCTGAACCTGCTGCCTTCCTCCTGCTATATTTATCAGAACAATTTAGCTGGTTGGAAAGTGCTTGGGGAGGCAGCGGGGGTGGAGCAACCTTGGATATCAGCCATGGGAGAAAACCTGCAGCCGCCTCCATCCTGACGTGGCTGTTGCAAGATGCTCTCATGCCTCCCTCGGGGTAAACCCAGTGTAAAGCTGGGAGGCGACTCATCATTTGTTGAACTGCTCATGCTTTACAGGTAATTTTTAAGCCTTTAGCGACCTTGTGCACAGCCTTGTGCTGGAGACCTGCTCACCTCCTCAAACCTTCACATGCCTCACCTCCACTTGGAGATTTCCAGGATGAGCTGGTGCCAATTTTCTTCTGCTCAGGAGATGGCCTAAAGCAATTTGTCCTCCTCCTGTCCCTCCGTGCTTGTCCCTCTGAACTCGCAGGAATAGTCAGCCTAAAATGGGAATTCTTACTGATGCAAGTGAGATTGGTGCATTTAAGTACCTAAAAAAGTTTTGACACCTCCACGCTATCCTGTGGCAGTGAGATCAGAGGAGACTAACATGTGGAACCTGTCCAAAAACCCCCACAGTGAAAAAGGACAGCATGCAGCTCCCTTTTACTCCTCATTTTTGGCATCTCTTGGTAAGATCTGTTCCCAGCTGGAAGCCCTGCCCGTGCCAGCCAGCAGGTACTCGCTCAAATCTCTGCAGCTGCAGATGTTGAGTAAACTTTGCAAGTCATTTCTGCTGTACACCACAGCACATGGACTCCTGTTGGGCAACCAGGCTTGCAGCAACAGAGGTTCAATCCTCTCTGCCGTGAGATTTTTATGGTGCTCAGCTTCCAGCTCATTCCTGACGCACGCACCCCTTGTATTTCAGCCTCTGATGTGGTTTTTTAATTTCTGTGCTGTGAGGAAGCAGGGCTCTGCTGTTGGTTTATTTAGCTGCCAGCAGGCACTTTAAATGCTCCCACCAAGGTTTGTGAGGGTCAATACTTGCTAAATGCTGAGTAGCTGACAATGGCATCACTGGGACTTGATTTAATCACTCCTGTAGATGCAGATAAGGATGCTGCAGCTCCAGTATCTTATCACTTCCCGATTTTCCTCACCTCTGAAGTGGATCTGCTTTTGTTTCATTTAGGGAGGCTCAGAAGGAGGAGGGGACCACCTAAGCCCGCTCTGTAGGGACAGGAGGCCATGACCACATCTGGAGGGGGTGAGGTGAACATTCCGTGCTCATGTCTCCCCACTCCCTCGGAGGGATGCTGGGGTGAGGGACTTCTCCCCATGGGAGCTTAAAATGAGATAACCCAGCTCTCTAGAGGTATTCAGGATGGCAATTCCCGAACAGACATGGGATGAGGTGATGGAAATCACCCTCCAGGAATGAGACCTGTTCAGAGTGATGGGGCCAGGGCCAGCTTTCATGATGACCCAAGAAGCAGCAGCAGGAGTTGCTTGACTCTGCAGTTTTCTGCCTAGCCAAGGAAACATGCTCACACATCCCTTTGTAAAGCCTTCCCGGACCACGAGATGGCATCAAAAACCAGTGCAGCCTGAATCAGACTGGTTTCCTTTCTGGTCTGGCCTCATCCAGCAAAACCTGCGATCCCGAGTGGGATCCTGCTGGGATGGATGGTGCAGCGTGTCCCTCCTTGCAGGCACGTCCCTTCTGCCCGTGGGAAACTTCTCATCAGCTTCCTCGCCCTGCACAATTTTTCTAAATAAATTAAAATGCAATAAAATCTGCTTCCTGTTTCCCCCATAGCCAAAACAGGCCCAGGCTGCCTTTTAAGTACCTGTCTCACCCCATCCATCATCCCTCGCCACTGACCCCCAGAAAACCCTCCCAGTACTTTGCCCTTCCTCCCCCAGCTCCTTACGAATGACCCTGATTTCCAGTCCCACCGGTCCTCCTCCTATTTCCATTTCCCCCCTGAGGCTCACGTATAAACAAAGCAAAGAACGGGGAAAAACAGGGTTACCAGGAGAAAATGGGTCCCGGGTGGCCGGTGGCATGCAGCAGACCCTCACACGTCACTGAGAGCCTGGCATGGTGCCTGATGAGATAACCTTTCACCAGAACACCAAAACCACCCATTTCCGAGGAATCTTGGGAAGTTTCCCTTCCTGCTAGGAGCCAACAACTCTTCTAGCTTTGCAGGCAGGAGAAAGGTGAAGGCAACGTGGGCAAGTGGTTGCAGCAGGGCTCCCCATGGGCCAGAATTGCTGCTTGGGCTCAACCATGGGATGGACCCTTTATGCCTCTGTTTCTCTTCTGCAAAGTGGCCACTGATAATGGCATTGCAGAGAAACGGATATCTCTCTGATCCTGAGTTCTGCAAGTACAAGACACAGCCTCCATCTCTATATCATCTATCAAAACCAAACACAACACAGAACAAATATGTTGGCCTGAGGAACCCCCCACAATGTGTGTTTCAATGTGTGAGCAGGAGAGATCAAGAGCTGGAGATAAATTCTGTGACAGAGATAGGAGTCTGGGGGTCTCTTTGACTAGACAAGGGCAAGTACGCCCCGATCCTTGGCCAGCTGCTTTGGGAAAGCGTCTTCTCAACCCTGTATCAGGGAGGAAGACTCACGTGAGTGTAGGAACAAGCCCCATCAGCCAAAAGCCCAGGTGCCCATCTTGCTGAGACTCTTGTCTTGGCCACGGCCAACCTTTGAGCCTGCAGAGGAAGGCAAAATTGTTAAACACTCCCCCAAAAAGCTGTGCCCAGGATTCTCCCTGTAAAGTCAGGATGTTTTTCCTATGGAAAAGCCAAGTACACAAAAGAGGGTTTTTTTCTTTATCCATCCCTCTGTCTGGCACCCACAGAAAAATGCTCTGGATGCAAATTTTCATGGTCAGTGCCCCGGCTTCTCTCTCACTTCTCCTTTCCTTTGGATTTCTTCCTCTGAGGCCAGCTGGATGTTTCTTTTTGAAGCACAAGAGCTGTCCCCATCCTTGGCTTTTCTTACGCAAAGCCGTCATCTGAGCGGGGGGGTGACCACGGAGTGGCACGGAGGGAAAGTCAGCTTCTGCTTTCCCTCACGAGCCAGGACAAATGGACAGAGACTGTGGCCAGGCAGCTCAACTGCATGAGCTCAGCAAGTGGTGGAGGGATGAGAACAGGATCATGTGCTCAAGGAGAGCAGCTGAGATCTGAGCACTTGCCACCGCTCTTGAATTTCCTGGAGGTTGGGGTATAGTAGGGGGTATAGTTGGGGTATAGTAAAGTCAGGCATGTAGACAAAAGGAAATGAGGTCACAGCCTCTGCCTTGAAGTGTTTGAACCTGCCTGACAAAGCACATGGGAAAGGTGCCCTGGAGGGAAGATGTTTTCCAATAGGGGAACATCTCGGTCTATATGGGACCCTATCAGCTACCAAAGTCCCAACCAGTCCCACATCGAAGCAGGGACAGCACTGGAGACCTGACCCAGCCCAAAGACCTGAGGAAGAAGACCCCTTGCCAGGGGACTGAGTAGATGGAAAAAGTGCCCATAGATTCAAAAATCTTCTGGAGTCATGGAGGAAAAAACAGTTCTGGACTGCTAAACACAAAGATCCACCACCGGATCCAAAAGTACCACAGGCTAAAACTTGCTGGGAGAGCGGGCAAGAGAGGTCTGGCCTCACTGAACAGCTGAGCAGTAACGTTCACACCTGGATGCTGCAAAGGTCCATCCCAAACCAGACATAGGACGAGTTTTGTTCTCAGCATCTCCTACGTGCCAGACATGAAGACAGACATTTCCACCTTCGGATGAGAGAAGTTTGGCACCTCCTTGGGCACAGTGTAGACTTAGCACAGCTAATTATGTTTGTTTGAAGTCAAAAGAGGCGAGACCCCTCAGGAAGACGAGATGGATGAAGCAAGGGGACACAAGGAGAGCTCTTCAATAGAAAATACAGAAAATGCTACTAATGTTTAATTTAGACAAGGATTTTGCCTTGCATTGGAACCAAGGATCAACTGTCTCACAGAATCACAGAATCATTGAGGTTGGAAAAGCCCTTGAAGCTCCTCCAGTCCAACCATGACCCTCCCCCTGACCGTTCCCAACTCCACCAGATCCCTCAGCGCTGGCTCAGCCCGACTCTTCAACCCCTCCAGGGATCCCGGGGACTCCCCCCTGCCCTGGGCAGCCCATTCCAACGCCCAACAGCCCCTTCTGCACAGAAATACTCATGCAGCCCACTTTGTTCAAACCACAGTCCTGGCAGAAGCAGCTGAAATAAACGGGGAAGGGAGGTCCTGTGTGGTTTCTTCTTTCATCTTCTCCTCTGCCCAGAGCCAGTGGTGTGCATAAACTTTGCAGGAGTAAATGCTAGCCCTGCCGTTGCCTTTCCACACCCCACCAGGGCCAGCAGGCTCTGCCCTCACCATCTCTCTGCTCACCCAGATCTGGATTTGCTTTGCCCCAGCAAGGGTGGGAAGTTTTTTGCTTAGGTCACCCATTCCTGAGTCATGTCCCAGCAAAGTCACCCGCTTCCTCGTGAGCGAGCTCAGCTGAGTCACCAGGTGCTGCGGGGTTGCGTAACTGGAGCTCCCTCTTCGCAAGGATTTGCAGGGAACTGGAGATCCCTGTTTGTAAGGATTTGCAGGGAACTGGAGATCCCTGTTTGTAAGGATTTGCAGGGAGCAGGGGGGAGGATGCTGCAGGATCCTCCAAGCTCTAGAAGGGGCCTTCAGCCTCTTAAGGAGCATCAGCAGCATAAGACAAAAAGGGTGCACAGGGGTTGGAGGACACCAAGAGCCCTGCAGTTTCCACCTGCATGGGTGGAAATCTACGCTCAGTGTTGAATTCAGCTCGGCTGATGCCTTTATGGCATGGCCAAGTGCTGCTGCCTTCTGCCTGGCCAGTTTTGGGTTCGATATGGACCAAACCTGCAAAGAGTGAAGGAGCAGAGGTGCAGAGCCAGGCTCTGCCCTCAGAGCAACCCTTCCCACATCTACCCCATGGCCAGGGAGCCATCCCCGTGGCACCGCAGCACTTCGCTTATCTCCCATCCACAACAGGAGCACACAGCCCCCTCGCCCAGCATTTCTGTCCAGGCAGAAAAATCTGGTTAACAAACTCCCAGCTGTCACCGGACAAATTTAAATCCGGTAGAATTAGCCAACAGTCAGTCCAAGACATGTTTTAGTGAGTTTTTTAAAGCCACGTGTTCCAGTAGTAGCTCTGGCAGCTGTTGAAAGGTTGGAGAGTGAGAATTTTAACTCAGGATGTTCCAGCTCCCACAGAGAGCTGAGAATTACATCGGTGTCTAACCCTGCAAGCAAGGATTTATCAGGCAGGATTCTGGCTTTATAAAATCCTGCTTACCAGTTGCCCTGGGCGAGTTATTTGGCAGCTGATCCAGCTGTAATAACCATTATTATCCCCATCAAAACCCAACCTATGAGTCGCAGGTGACGTTCTGCTGCTGCGCGGGTATGCAAGTCAGCTGAAAAATCTACAGAAGTGATAAAGCGCTCACATTCAAATCAATTAGTTGGCAAATTTGGGTACAAGATGAACATCTGATGCACCTTTTCAAATCGCTGAGACACTGGTTTTCTGTTTTACAGATTAAAACCCTCAGATGATGTCAAAAATGACAAGGGAGACCAATCTAGGCTGACTAATAATTTAAAGCACCAAATGCTGATATGTAGTGTTGAAATAATGTATTTGAGGCCCAAAATGCATTTTTATTTAATTAATTCAATATATTTAATTTATTCTCTCAATGCCTCAAGCTGGGTCACCTGCAACATTTTATAGATTAGGTGGTTCAGTGCCTCATGGCAAGACAAACAGGAAAAGAAAAACTGGTGTGGAGAAGGGCAGTGTTGACTTCTGAGGACGAATCGTGATGCACAAAGAGGGACATGCAGTCAAGAATAAAAGACCTTCAAGAGCTATTTCAGTAGTACAATTTTAGTGAATTAGAAATTACCTAAATTTTCTAATTTTAGTGAATTAGAAAAAAATCTGGGTAGATACACCCCGAAGGCAGTCTGGCAGTCTGGCTGGACAGCATAGGCTTTGGGTTCAGGGAGTTCTAGTTCTAGTTCCCAGCACTACACCAGCTACTAGGAAGAAAATTAACTCTATCCCAGCTGAAACGAGGACACAGGAGCAAGCTTCACTCCTATCCTAAGCCAAGCCAAGCTATTTGCTTATTAAATAAATCTGCATTTCACACCCTTGTCGTAAGCGATAATGATTTTAAACCCTGGAGATGAAAAAAACCACCATACCTGCATTATTTAGGGCTGGTTTTTTGTTTTTTTTTTGGTGGGAAATGAATATGCATAGAAACTTTTTTTTCCTTAAATGTAGAGGCGCTGGTCCTGCAGCAGCTTCCTTAGGAACTATTTATTGCTTAACGTTGAATCAGGGACACCAAGAGTCAACCAGCAGGGATTTAACAAGGGATAAGACAAGGTTGCCCAAGGCCTCCTGGCTCTTTTCCTTATCTCTTTCCTATAGTGGTGGCCTTTGCTCCAAAGGCTGAAGCTTGCCATGGCCTGAGCAAATGCCATTTATTTCTCTGATAACACTAAGAAATCCCACAAAACCAAAAAAGGGGGTTGTTTCTTGCCTGGTTTGGGCACACAAGGGATTTACAGGCTCCCTGGAGAGCATCTCTAGTGGGAAAACTTTCCTGGCTGCATTCAGCTTCATGTATAAAACCAATTTATCTCAAAACCAGGCACGTTTTTGGCCCAAACTAACTGAAAAAGGGATGGCAACTGCAACACTTCCCCAAAGAGAACAGAAAGGCCAGTAGTATGTGCAAAGTTTTAGTTCATGCTTTCAGTTCTTGAAAAAGTTGCAAAGCATTTGCAGGAATAGTAGGCGGCTTCTCTCAAAGGATGGGCTCTGTGGTGTCCCATAACAAAATAAAAGGTGTTAAAATTGCTAGTATGAGACTTCTAGGCAAAAACCTATTTGGAAATAAGGGTGTATGGGGAATAACGAGGTAACTGCAGCAAGTTACTGGGAAAAATGATCATTAATGATGTCCCGACTGCAGCTCCCCAGCATCACGTGCTGTGCCCACATGTCTGGCAGCACCGAGAACTTCCCAGACGGGTTGTACAAAGGGCAAGACAAAAATCAGTTTCTTTTACTTGTGACTTCTGTCATCAAAACTTCACAGGCAACAGAAGAAACTGCAAAACCGAACAGTAATGGGCAGAGCGAAGAAATCCTGTGTTGGACAGAGGAAGGTTAGGCAGGTTACTGGTGATTTTTTTTATTTTGTTATTATTTTAATTCCCAAAGCATGCATAAAAACATAGTGAAGGGCGTTACTATTTGCTGGTTAAAAATTATATGTAAAGGCAGGCAACGGGCCAAGGGCCTTTGCACAGAGCGTATCAAAGCATAAATACACTTAAACACAGCAACAACATCTCCAAGTTTACTGCATAAATACTGGGGTATACAGCCAAGTGTATTAAATATTATTTTTCTGATTTTTTTCATCGCTTCACTAGGAAGCCTTCTAAACCAAAACCAATCTTTAAAATGTGAATGTGACAAAAAAAAAAAAAAAAAGATTAGACATAAATGACAGCAGGGAGAAAAAGAGTATACTCGCTTTCTAGAGAAAACATATAACAAACCTTCCAAAAAGTAGAACGCAAGTACTAAAAAGTAAAATATGTTAATGGGGCACAATGTTTGTAAAAACCCAATGGAGAGAGAGGGACCTTGCCAACTGTAAGGGATGCATTTGTTGCCTTGCAGAAATAATCTCAGGGGCCTGGACAGTTTGGAGCAGCCTTGCCCAGGCACCGCGGATGAAGCTGGGAAGAAATGAGGATGAATCATCTGCTTTTATGCCATCCTGTTTGGCATCTGCTCGGGTCCTGCCATAAAGCCTGAGCTCCTAGAGGCATCTGAAGCTTCCTGAAAGCCTAGAGAAGACAGTCAGGAGCATCGCATCGCTCTGGCCTTCGCAGACCAGCCCTTCTGCTCCATCTGTGCAACACCGTGACCCTCCCTGCCGCTCCTTTCCTGCTAAGGAGGCCTCAGGGTTCCCCTTTCCAAGCTCTGAAAAAAGTCCCAGGTGATTCCCTTTGCCAGGCTTTGGCTTTCCACACTGACTGCTGGATGTCAGTAGACTTTTGATCACTGATTAGAGTTATTATTTTCTATTCCAGGCCAAACGGTCAGTTCATTTCTGAGAGTGGTGAGGAATATATTTTATCCTCACCTTCTCCCAGAACGGAGTGAGAAAGGAACAAAATAGATGGTCTTTCTCATTAAAGAGAAGCTTTAGCAACATTGTGATTTAAAACAGGGCTTGAAATGGGCTCTAAAGATGACCTTTCTGTGCTGTTCATCCTTCTGAAAATCAGCCAAAATGAGGCGAAAAAAGTCAGTTAACACAGTAACGCAGTAAAAACGTGCTGGACTGCCAGGTGAAAACTTCAAAGGATGCTGTCAGGATGGAGGTGGGATAGGCAGGGGATGGAGGTAGGATGCAGGAGAGACGCAGGCAGGGTGGAGGCTGGCTGGAGGTGGGAAGCAGGCAGGACGGAGATGGGATGGAGACAGGAGAGTGGTGGGATGCAGGCAGGCTGGAGGAGGAAAGTTTTGGGCACCTCAATCCCAGAGAGATCTGGAGGGGCTGGAGCGAGGGCAGAGGAGGGCAACGAGGCTGGGGAAGGGCTGGAGAATCAATGCTGTGAGGAGCCAGGGAAGGAGCTGGGAGTGTTCAGGGTGAGGAGGAGGAGGCTGAGGGGAGCCCTCATCCCTCTCTGCAGCTCCTGACAGGACATTGCAGAGAGGCTGGGGCTGGGCTCTGCTCCCAGGGGATCAGGGACAGGACAAGAGGGAACGGCTGGAAACTGCCCCAGGGGAGGGTCAGGCTGGGCAGGAGGAGAAAATGTTTCCCAGCAAGAGTGGTGCGAGAGTGGAACAGGCTGCCCTGGGAGGGGGAAGTCCCCATCCCTGGGGGGGTTTCAGGGCCGTTGGGATGAGCTGTGGGGGATGTGGGGTAGGGGAGAACTTTGTAGAGTCGGGCTGAGGGTTGGACTCGATGATCCCGAGGGGCTTTTCCAACCTGAATGGTTTTGGGATTCTGTGATGGTGGGGGAAGCAGGTGGGGTTGAGGGGGGATGCGGGCAGGTTGGAGGTGGAAAACTAGATGGGATGGAGGCATGCAGGAGAAGGGATGCAAGTGGGATGGAGACGGGGTGGCAGAGGGAAGCAGGTGGGGTTGAGGAGAGATGCAGGCAGGCCGGAGACGGGATGCAGGTAGGATGGAGAGGCAGGATGGCAGAGGGAAGCGGGTGGGATTAATGAGGGATGCAGGCAGGTTGGGGGTGAAAAACCAGATGGGCTGGAGGTAGGTTGGAGGAGGGAAGAAGCAGGCAGGATGTGGGTGGGATGGAGGAGGAATGCGAGTGGGATTGAGGAGGGATGCCGGC